GAGGCAGGCGGATCTCTGTGAGTTTGAGACCAGCCTGGTCTACAGAGCAAGTTCCAGGACAGCCTCCAAAGCAATAGAGAAATCCTGTCTTGAAAAACCAGAGAGAGAGAGAGAGAGAGAGAGAGAGAGAGAGAGAGAGAGAGAGAGAGAGAGAGAGAGAGAGAGAGAGAGAGAGAGAGAGAGAGAGAGAGAGAGAGCATAGCCACAGGCAGAGACAGGGTCATCTGGGAGAGTCCAGAGTGGAATGACCCTGAGCCATGTGAGGAGAGGGGGAGGGGCAGAGCGAAGGGGGAGAGAACCAGGTGCAGCAGTCAAGAGGGTGAAAGGGGAAAGAGGGGTGGGTAAGCAAAATGGCTGGATTATATAGGGAAGAGCCTATGGGGGAAGGGCAGCCCAGCCCCTGGACTGGAGAGTTGGGGACCCCACCTGTTACAGTCATAACCTGTAACAGGTAGGGATTTCTTTGCTGTGTTAAATAGTCACCTCAGAGACTTGTCCCAGGGTTTGAGACCTAACACAGCCCTTTATAGGTAACTCTTTAGGTTGTTTTGTTTTACTAAAAGGAAGATCTATGTACTCTTTTTATTCTTAGGCCCCTTCTTGGAAAGATGGGAGTATCCTATTCATCTTGTTCTTCCTTTGATTAAAAAAATTACTTAGTTTGTGCTTGTGTGTGGGATGGTGGTGAAGGAATGAGGTGTTCCATGGTACATACCTGTCAGGTCAGAGGACAATCCATGGGAGTCAGTCCTCTCCTTCCGCCATGTGTGCTCTGGGGACTGAACTCAGGCCGCCAGGCTTGACTTCAGGCATCTTTACCTGCTGAGTCGTATTGCCGGTACTTGAGTTGTTTCCTGTATTTTCCTGTATTTACTACTACAGAAGGTCTTGCCTTGTGTGTTTTTCTGTTTTTTTTTTTAATTCATGGGACAAATTCCTAGATAAACTGTGGGCCAAAGTTTAGATGTATATGTAATTTTGCTAAACATTGCCCAATTCCTGTAAGAATTACACCATTTTGTAGTTCCTCCAGCAGTGTATGGAAAGTTCCTTGCCCTACAGCAGAATGAACACATTGTCAAACTTTTGACAGTCTAAAAGGTTATCTTATTGCATGTAGTTTTAATTTGTATTTCTCCTAAAAAGAGCAAGGGCAAGCATGGCATTTTGTTTTTCTACAAAATTGAGAGTATTTATATTTGTTTAATGTAAATTATTCATTTTTTCAGCTTCTCCTTTTTAGAGGGCAGTTGGTTTTTTTCTTTTACTCTTAGAAAACCTTTAGTGTTCTGGAAAATAAATAACTGTCTCTATATCGGCTACAAATACTTTCCCTGTTATTTTTTTATTTTATCTACTTTGTGTTCTAAGGTTATATGTGAGTATGTGTGTGTTACAGTTAAATTTATCTGTCAGTTTTTACTCCAAGGTCACAGAAGAACTTTTCCCTCACCCCCCTTTCTTTCTGTACGGGCTGGGTCAAGCTGGAGTCATCAGAGGAAGGAGCCTCAGTTGGGGAAATGCCTCCATGGGATCCAGCTCTCAGTCAGAGCTCAATGGGAGAGGGTCCAGCCCATGGTGGGTGGAGCCATCCCTGGGCTTGTGGTCCTGGGTTCTATAAGAAAGCAGGCTGAGCAAGCCACAGGGAGCAATCACATACTCATCACTCCTCCATGGCCTCTCTCTCTATCAGCTCCTGCCTCTAGGCTCCTGCCCTGCTGAGTTCCTGTCCTTTCTTCTCCTCCCTTTTTGCAGCAATAGAAACCCTAAGACCCCCACCCCCTTTTTTGAGAAGGTTCTCTCTGTGTAGCTCTGGCTATACAGAACTCACACAGATCTGCCTGCCTCTGCCTTCCAAGTGCTGGCACTGAAAGCATGTGCCGCCATGCCTGGCCTCTGCCCACGCTTTCTTTGAGTGCTTACTTTTCATTTTTAGATAAGCAGGCTCGTAATTCACTTAGAATATATCCCTCTGTGTGGTGTGAGAGTGGCTCCAGTCCTCCCAGCCCCACGTCACCCAAGTAGCTGGCTCTGAGATTGTGGTTTAGATGCTAACAAGGTGAAATGAGATGGGAACAGATTCTGATGGATGTCCAATGACATCAGGTTCACGGAACCAAGGACAAAGTCATTGAATCCAACCGAGGCAGAATACAGGGGCAGGTTCCTTTTAACCCACCGTATCATGATTCCTTTCATCTGGCTCAATTAATTTTATTCATTTTGTAGGCAAATTAACCAGTGAATGAGAAACAATCTCTTACTATGCATGTCTAAAGTGGTCATCAGCATCCCTAGAGTTGAGAGACGGGAAGAGCCAAGTTTTTGGGATGGGTGCCCCCACCAGGTTACACCAGAAGGCGGCCTCTCCCCATCCCCTCTCACCCCTATGACCTAGTATTTGTTCTATTTTTGGTCACTTGCAGCTAAGAAAGTTCTTCTGTTTGTTTGTTTGAGATGTGGTCTCCCTGGTTGCCCAATGTAGCTTAAAACTTCAAATTCTGCTGCTTCAGTCTCTTAGTGCTGGAACTATAGATGTGCCCCATTAGCCCTGGCTAAGAGAATCTTAGTAAATTTACCTTATATTCTAGTTTTTAAAATTTTAAATTTTTTACCACTTTTGAGAATTTCATACATATTCTGATCATATTCAGACCCCTTCCCTAACTCATCCCAGATATTTTCCTATTTACCCAACTCCATGTTACTGCACTTTCTCCCTTCTTCCTTCTCTCTCTATAAAAAACAAACAAACAAAAAATCCAAACCATGGAGTCCAGTTTGTGTTGGGCAACTACTCCTGGGCATGAGGCCTGTCCTGGAGTGTGTTCAGCAGACTAGGTGTTACTCTGTTGTCACTAGGTAGCAATCAAATGCCAATAGCTACTCAGGTAGGAGTGGGACTTCTTACCTCTGCCTCCTCCAGACCCAAGGTAGAGACTGCAATGGAATTCAGTCAGAATATTACAGTTGTCATACTGGGCTGGCTTCTTCCCCCTTGAGAGATCATTCTTGCAAACCATCATGGGTAACACCACAAGGAGTGGTCAAGGGGCTGGAGAGATGGCTCAGAGATTTAAGAACACTGGATGCTCTTCCAGAGGTCATGAGTTCAATTCCCAGCAACCACATGGTGGCTCATAACCATCTATGATGAGATATGATGCCTTCTGGAGGGCAGGCATGTATACGGATAGAGCGCTGCATACATAATAAATAAATAAATCTTTAAAAAAAGAAGAGCGGTCAACTGTGATGCTGTTCCCCTCAAGTTCAGTCCATGGTTCTTAAGTTCACACTCCTGGCGGTCAGAGACTGTAGGTTTCTGTTGTAGCTACTGCAGAGACTGACTGCCTCACCCAAGCCAGGTGCTCACTGACACACCCAGGCTCGAGTGTGAACCAGACTGAATGCTCTTCATTCTGTCCATACCACAGCTGAGGAAAATGGAGCCAGAGAGAGCAAAGCTCTACCCAGAGGCCAATATCCAGCTCAGGTATCCTGTCTCCAGCCTCAGGTTGAATCAGCAGTCAAACTCTGTCCCTTTGAGATGGAGGAGGTCAGTCCCCCTCCGGTTTCACAGCTAATTGGCTAGTTTGGGGATCTTTGGGCAAATTACTCCAGGTCTCTGAGTCTCAGGCTTTAGACTCCTACCATTTACACAAGACCCGGTCTCCTGAGGACCAGTAAGTCCCAGATATGAGTGATTTGGAGACCCTGACGAGAAGATGTGTGGCCTCGCATGGATTTGAGCTCCAAGATCATCCCAGAAAGCCTGTTTGGAGGCACTTGGCGAGGAATGGGACTGTGGGACATGGGCTCACTACTCATGTACCTGCATGCTCTCAGGCTGTGAAGCTTTTCAGTCAAGTGCCATTTCTCCGGGTGACAGGTCGACTTAAGGTCATCCAAATAGGCAGAGTCTGGGGCCTATCTCACACCCAAGTGTAATGACGTCTAGTTCAGGCCTGTCGCTGGCTTCAGAGTCCTTCTGAGAATCATTAAGGATACCCCAACAGTGCTGAGTGGCTGGCCATCCTTAGGTCTTCTGGCCAGGCCACCTAGGGATAGTCTTGTAGTGACTGCTGGGGGCGCTGGAGGCCTAAGTTTTCTAGAACTTTCTTTGGAGGCAGTGAGTCAGGTATTGCGGGCAGGGGTGGGGTACTTCAGCAAGATTTCATGACCAACTCTCTTGGGAAGCAAGGGAAGGCAATAGACACATCGTCTGTTTTGATGGGCCACGAGTAACCTTCCGGGCATTGTGCTCCCAGCATGCCCTAAATCCCTTTGAAAGAGATCAGAATTCCTTTGAAGTGATACAACAACACCCTGTATTTCCTTCAGCATTCCCAAAGTAACTGTGCAGCCAGGAGTCTCCCAGACGCCTTCCACCTACTTAAGTCTGCCTGCTGTAGGAAGGGATGGCCCTTCAGGTCGATGTGGGCTTGGGAGGCCTTGGCCACAGCCCTGTCATGAACGACATGTATTTTCTTGATAGTCCCCTGACATAGACGCCCTTGTCATTACCTCCTCCTCATTAGTTTACAGGAAACAGATGCCCAGAGGAGACCAGTAATGCTGGTGGGATTTGCTAAAGGAGGTAGGTAGAGGCAGGAGCATCACACGTTTGAAACAAAACAAAATATGGTCACTTGTCCATGTTGTACTCAAGAATCATTTTTGAGCATTAAGAGAAGTGACTGAAAATTCTCCTGAAGCTGGGAAAGGGGAGTCAGGGCAGAGTAAGGTAGTGGAGTGTCTGGTACCCTGGCATCAGAAACACATCTGTGTCTGACCAGGGGAAGCTGGTGGCTTTGGTGGTACCGTTCAGGGTCCTGGTGGGATTAGCCAGAAAGCCTGGCTGCTGGCTGGCTGTGGCCTGCAGGCTATGGCTTATTGATCTTTACTAACAGAGGAAGCAAATGTGAATTGCATGGTATACCTTCCCAGTCTCCAGACTCCAGAGCGGATCTTGGCTCTGCTCCAGGAACCCAGGTGCATGAAGGTTTTGTGGGATGTTGGCATCACAGTCTCTTCATTGTTCTGTTCCTCACAGCATCTATCTGTTGACCAGCCTCCCTCTGTGAGGACTCCTGAGGTCCCAGATTCTTCAATTCTTGTCTCCTGGTTTTCTTCCTTTCTCACGGACTCCTGTTCTAGGTGGAGTGAGCCAGGACCATAGGGAGCCCCTCAATGAGCTCTGGAGGGAGCCGAGAGGCCACATCACGAACACGTGTGCCTGGCTGCCTGGATGGCCCAGTGAAGGGTGAGGGGTATTGAAGTAGACTGGGAGGTCTGGAAACTCTGGGAAGATCATGGAGGAATTGTATGTCACGGGCAGGAATCTGGGAAACATTGTATTCCTAGGGTGCCTCAGAGTTGAGGAAGATTGAGAAAGGAAATCTTGTGTCAGATGATATGATAGTTTGGGACTCACTGAGGGTAGGGTCATGAGGGACGATGCTAAGAGCACCTGGTAACTGTGTAGTGTACACACCTGCTAGTTACCATAGGTCACCTGCTAATTACCATAGGTCACCTGTCAATCACCACAGATCACCTGCCAATCACCACAGATCACCTGTCAATCATCATAGATGTAGCTGGGAAAAAGGAGGCTGTGCTGGGGAATGCCACCTGCATCAGACCACTAGGTCCCAGGGTCTGTCCTGGCCTCTGAATCCTACTTCTCATTTCTCTGGACCACACACAGACAGACATACTGGGGTGGGAGGAGGATTTTTCTTCTTTACTGAGGTAATGGGATTGCCTGTATGCTATCGGGTCACAGTCGTTTATATTTTTATTTTTGAAGCTGCTAGGAATGGACCTCGCGCATGCTAAGCATGTGTTCTGCCACAGAGCCACATGCCCAGCTCAAGTCACACTATCTGTAGCCACTCTTGTTCCTGGGAAGTCGTAGTGGTCATGGGGTAAGTGCCTGGACACTCCTCACTCATGTCACAATTATCCATAGTGTCCTGCTAGTGAAAGGCGAGGGGATCTGAGTTCAAATGCCATATGACCAGCAACCTGTGACCACTGCACGATTCCATTTTTCTGAGTCCTGGCTCTCTCAAGGATGAAATATGACCAGACACTTAGCTCATGGGATGTTGTGAAGGTCAAGAACAATTAATTATGCTGTAGTTTCTGTACATAAATTAAGGGGCTAAGCTGCCTGAGAGGCCCACAGGGAGGAGGAACATGACGTTTAGGGCAGAAGAAGCTACTTGGAGCAATCTCCCCTTGATCCTTGACCCTCTGAAAATTCTGTCACTGGGCTTCCTGGAATGACGTCATTATTTCTTAGGCTCCTTTGTAGCCAGAGTGGATGTGTAAACCGACTTGTGGCCAATGGGAAGTGATCAGACATGGTAGATTCTTAAGGGTAGAGGCTCCTTCCTGTCCCGTGCTCTAGATCCAATCAATGACTCTCTGTTTCTCTCTTCTTTAGGTAGCCAAAGCACAGTGAAATCTGAGACCATGTAAGGTAAATGGCATTGTGTGTCAACATTGTATGTGGTGTTGTCTGGGCTACCCATACAGAGAGTATCACACAGGGAGGCATGTGGTGTGTGTCATGGTGCCATGGTTATTTGGTGCGTCTCTTCTGGCGCTGCAATCCACAGTCTAACCACTAAGGCTTTCATGTCATTTGTCCCCTAGTGATTCATGGATTGGAAGCCTGCATGTCTGTGCAGGGACAGCACAGTGTGGTTGGACCTTAAGTGGTGGGGCCTAGTAGAAGGTGACAAGTCCACTGCCGGCAAGCTTTCAGATGGAACTAGCCGTTCTTAGGGGACCCTAGTTAGTTCCCAAGAGATGGCTCAGACAGACCCTTCCATGGTTTCTCTATCTACTCCTACTCCCACTTAGTCTCTTTCATTTTTTGAGACAGGGTCTTATGTGTGCTGTCACGTGCCATGATGAGTCACAGCTAAGGGTGATCTTGAAGAGGCAGAGTCAATGCGTCCGGCTCCTCTTAGACGTCTAGCTTCCAGACCTGGGAACCCAATAATCTCTTTTCTTTATGGAGGACCTAACTGAAGGCATTTTCTATATAAGTGAAAACTGGACAACATGAATCCCAAGAAGCAAAGTGTATTCTGTCTGTCTTCCCTGGTTGATTTTCTTTCGAGATATTTTCAGAGATCCATCCAGAGGTGTTGTTCATTCCTCTGTGTGGGAACACCAGACCTTGAGCAGAGACCCACTTCCCCTTCTGCCTGGGAGTAGGCAGCTGTAAGACAATGTTTAGTAAAAACATGTTTACTAAAAACGATACAATAAGTTCCTGGGAAAGGCCTTCCCACGGAAACCGCCCTGACCTCGACCTTGTCCAAAGACTAACCGCACCTTCAAAAACCCACACACATCCACCTCTGGTGTCAGAGCAGAACCAGCCAGGGTAGAGGAGAGAGCAGAAGCTTCTCTGGTGGGAGCTTTTCTTAGGAGGTTTTCTTGAACCTTTTTGGAGCCTGTTTAAAGTTTTCTTTATATCATTGAACGAGTCTCTGTGTTATCAATCCCCGACACCCTCCGCACGTTCTCGGACACAGGCCGCGCAGCAGACGTGACACCTCTGCTATCTTAAATGCTGTTCTACTGCTGGGAAAAGACATCATGACCAAGGCAACTTACAAAAGGAAGTTGGTTTTTTTTTTTTTTTTGGTTTTACGAGACAGGGTTTCTCTGCATTGTTTTGGAGGCTGTCAGTCCAGCCTGGCCTCGAACTCACAGAGATCCGCCTGCCTCTGTCTCCCAAGTGCTGGGATTAAAGGAGTGCACCACCAACACCCGGCTCACAAAAGGAAGTTTTTAACCAGGGGCTTGCTACAGGTTCAGGTCATGGCATCACATCGAGAAGCAAGGCAGAAGGCAGGAAAGCAGGCATGGCACTGGCGAAATAGCTGAGAACTTAGGTTTTATCCACAAGATGAAGCGGGGGCTGGTATCAAAGCCCACCCCAGTGGCACCTCCATCAAGGCCACACCTAATCCTTCCAAAACAGTTCTCCAGTTGGGAACCAAACAGTCAGATATACAACCTATGGGGGTCATTCTTCAAACCACCACATCTGCTGTTTCTTAGCCCAAGTTGATGATCGCAGTTGACCATCCCATCCTTCTGAATGACTTCTATGCTCACATTTCCCTGACAACACACAGTCAGAGCCTTTAGCGCTATCCTCTGCCAGCATAAACTAGATCATGCCCCTTCCCTGCTCCAACTTCCCAGTGTTTCTGTCCCTCTGCTGACTCACCCCTACTGGCCCATCCGTGTGGAAGCTTTCCCTACCTACTGTTTCTCCGGTTTTAACTGCTCACATCACTTGAGAGTGTCCTGAGCGTCTGCCCTGAGCTCCCTTTGCCTCAGGTCCCTGCTCTAGATTGCTCCATGACTTGTTCCTCCTAGCATCACAACCCCGGAGACGCTTTCCTCCACCGTTTCCCCTCAGCAGTCCTGTGCTGCCAGCCCCATTCCGGGCTGTCCTTCCCTCCCTCCCTCCATTGTCTTCCTCACTGTACTATTTGCTTTTCTTGTTTCTGTGACCAAATCCCTGATAAGAAGCAGTTGTCCACTGTGTCAGGGAATGCCTGGGACCAGTGGCATGAGGTGGTCACACTGGGTCCACAGATCAGAAAAAGCGGGATTATGAAGTGAGGCCAAGAGCTGGTCCCCAATGACCCACTTCCTCCAGCGAGGCTTCGCTTCCTGAAGGTTTCACAGCCTCCCAGGATGGCACCATCAACTAGAGACCGAGCATTTGAGCCCGCGAACCTGCCGGGGACTTTCCTAATTCAACCCACCGCACCGGGACCCATCGCGCCTGCTCGCGTTTGTGTGCCCAGCACTAACTTCTCCGTGTTCCCCACACACCTCCTGTGGGCCGCCCAGCTGCCTGGCCTGCTGCCTCCTCCTCCAGGCCGACCTTTCAGCATCTCCAGTGCATATTACCAGGGCTCAGGGCTGTGGCAGGGTGGGGGGATGGCACGTGGGGGACTCGGAGAGGCCACCGGTCTGTCAGGTTAGTGCACATCAACTTTGGTGAGTCTGAGTAGTGGTACCCGCACCGCACCAGGAAGCCGAGCCAGTAGGATGGAGAGGGATGGGGTGAGGGCCTCACTTTAGAACCCTGACCAGCCGGCGCTTAACGCCATCTCTAACATTTCTTCTTGTTTCTGACCTGCTTCTCAGTTAAGGCTCTCCTGTTCTCGTTCTCTCTCTATGGCTCCTCCCTCTCCTCCCCTCCTCCCCCCTCCCCCTCCTTCCCAAAGGTTTTGCATTTGCTTTGCTGAGCACACATTCTGACACTGAGGTTCACCCCCAATCCCCTTTTCTATGTTATGAAACTAAAATCACTTACACCTGCCCTGTGCCTGTCCCGTGACATTTTATGGTAATCATAGGTCACATCCCTTTGTTGACCTGTCCAGAAATATAATGTCAGGCCTACATCTAAATTCTTAAGTTCCCTGTCAACTTCCTCAGAACTTTATGAATAAAATGTCCCAAGAAACTTTGGTAAAATTTTATTAAGTTTTTTTTTTAATTTGGAAAAGAAAAACAATTATTGTTACCAGCTACCAAATGTTTAGTATAAATTAGTTTGCAGAATTTTGTTATGGTAGATTTTGACAGGAAGGGTGGAAACACTCTTGATAGTAATTGTTTTAATTATGAGGTTTCTAGAAGCAAATGGGGGCAGGCAGAGTTCAGGGGGTAAAAACATTTGTCGTACAAACCTGATGACCTGAATTTGATCTCCAGAATCCACATTTAAAAAGCCAGATGTGGGGCTGGAGAGTTGAGTGTGGTTAAGTGAGTTGTCTGCTCTTGCAGAAGGCTCAGATTCTATCCCCAGCACCCACACTGTGGCTCTCAACCATTCATGACTCCCGTTTCATGGAATCTAGTGCTCTCTTTTGACCTCCATGGGCAACAAGCACATGGTGTATAGACATACATGCAGCCCAAACACCTGTGCACACAAAATTAAAAATAAGTAAACAAATGAAAGAAAAATAAGTAAAAAAATAAGTGGGGGCTGAAGATATATCTCAGTAGTTAAGAGCATTGGCTGCTCTTCCAGAGGACCAATCGCCAGAACCCGTGTGGAGGCTCACAACCACCTGTAACCAGAGGAACTGCGGGTGGCTGTCCAGGCAGCGAGATGTCTCTGTCAATTCTAGTGTTTATGTACTATTCTTCTGTGGTCTTTGACAGAGTTGAAGACAGATGGTTATAGTTATAGTTTTCCTTAGTTATGATAAAAGATAAGCTACATATAAGACTTTAGACTCACAAAGATAGGATGGATGATATTTTCTTTAAATTTTGCTAAATGTTAATGGAGTACATATTGCATCTATAGTTCTTGCTTAATAACTGCTTTGTTATATTTTTTACTATGTTAAAGTTAAAACCTTTCTTTTTATAGACAGAAAAGAGGAGATGATGGGGGAAGTCCTTCTGTGTATATGTTTGATTGACATAAATAAAACACTGTTGGCCAATAGGGAAGAATGATAGGTGGGACTAGGAATCTAGGAGGATTCTGGGAAATGTAGTCAAGGGTGAGTCATCGCCATGTGATCATGGGAAGAGGATGCATGAGCCTGTGTCCTTGGAAAGATAAGTCCTTATAAAAATATATATTAGTAATTATGGGTTAATAATTAAGCCAGAGCTAGCCGATTAGAAACCATAACAAACAGCCAACAGCTTCATAATTAATATAGTGTCCTGTGTGTTATTTGGGGGCTAAAGTGCCAACTGGACCTGGGCAGGAATCCCGCAACAGGTCACCTGCTGGATATGTCAAGGCCATTACACACATGAACTCACAGTGGCTGTGACTATGCACAAGATCATGACAGCCTGAACCCCAGCATAGATGGGAGGGACTCGTAAGGTTCCACCCCAAGCTGAGGAGTTATTGGCAGTTTACGGCTGCTGAGGTAGAGAGGGTCAGCAGCTTTGGGACAGAGGATAGCAGCCAGGGTGGAATTGGGGCTTCCTAGCAAGGGTTGCAGGAGCGACTTCACAGATCCTGTTCTTGGGAGACTTGAATTATTAATAAAAATTCTAGGAAGCCCAGTGGGTTTCTTGGGAAACTTCATCCAATTAAGAGGAAATAAATTCCAAGTGTGCTTTTAAGTGCCATTAGGACTTTTTTTTCCCCCGCTGTGAAAAAAACCTTCACATTGATGCACAATATTCATACAGAAAGTACTCAAATCATAAGCCTGTAGCTCAATACTGGTTCACAGCTCACGATCCCAGCATCCAGGTTAAGAGACAACACTACAGCCCTTTGGAGACACTCGCTCTCATGCTCCCCACTGGCCACCAGCCCAGGGTCTGCTCTCCTGGCTTCCCCCCTGCAGAGGTAAAGTCCTGCCAGTACCATGTTCTGTGTACATGGGCGACACTTTATGGAGTCTTCCTTCTTCCCTTCAGATTTACATTTGTGAGATTCATTCATACCACCACATGCGATTTCAGACCATTTTCACAGTGTATAATAATCAGTGTCTGAATGGTATAAGAGTCATGCCTTATCCTAGGGAGTATGTTCTGAGATCCCATAGGCTGCTTGGAACCAGAGAGAATACCTGGCCTTAGAAACCCTGTGTTGGCAGCCTGGTGGGATTGTACAGGTCTCTATTCCCAGTAGTAGGTGTAGGGAGGAGGGTTGTGTTTTAGAGGCCAGCCTTGGTTATTTAGGGACTACCAGGTTAGTCAGGGTTACATAGAAAAACTTGGTTTTGAAAACTTTGAAATAAGTGGATAGATACATAAATAATAATTAAATGCTGCTGTTTTCTATATACATGTATGTATGAAAAATTTAATTTATATTTAAGATACAGAAAGAAATGAACAATAATAAATAGTAACAAAATTGAGAAGTTGTAACAATGTAATGAACTTATTTAAAGCTTGTGAATTGGTTAGTTCTGGAACTTTCTATTAAAGTCACGATTACAGTTGACTGCCGGAAACAAAACAGGATAAGGGGTAATGACTGACTCTGTGGCTGTTTATTTGTCTGATCTACTTTTGCAGGACACCCGGATGGAGCTTGGGTTTGCTGTTCTTGCCAAGGACTCAAGTTTAACTCCAAGCATCCACACTGAGCAGCTCATAACTGCCCCCCCCCACACACACACTTAATGAGTAATAATTCCTGGGGCTGGAGAGATGGCTCAGCGTTAGGATCATATGCTGTTATTCCATGGGACCTAAGTCAGATTCTGGTGCCATTTCA